AAAAAAAAAAAAAAAAAAATAAAAAAAAAAATAAACACATCATGGTAAAATTAATACCTTCTCAGCTTCGCATCGAAGCTAAAACATATCTTATTAAAATTAATACCTTCTTTGCTTCGCATCGAAGATTATAAATATGAACCCGATATTGATTATATTTTCAGCTAATTTTAAAACAATATTATTTTAGTTTCAAATTTTATAGATCACTTCTCTAAAATATATGACGGAACCCTTATCTATATATATAATTTTAATTTACTAATTTCTTAAAATAAGAATACAAAACCTGAGTTTAAATATAAATATTAAAAAAATATTTACAATAGTCCATTTTATTATTTTCAATTAATATTATTAAAGTACAATACTCAACATTTACTTGCACTATATGTACATTTTGCGTTATAACAGTTTTTAAATTATTAATGAATAAAAAATAATAGTTAAATTATTAATTATTTAATATAGAACTATATAAATTATATAAACTATTGACATATTTTTAATATTATCTTAAGTAATGAATTTTTATAAACTAACAATTATAATATATAATTAATAATTATATACCACCATTTTTGATTATACTATATTATAAATTAACAAATAACTATTAGATTTCATTAGAATAATTTGAAAATTAAAATTTTTCTGTTAAAATACTACTAAATTAGAAAGACATCGACATTTTAATTTTTAGCACTAAAATTTTTTATTTTATAAGAATTAAGAATATGTTGAGGTTTTTTTCTTCTAATAAATAATCTATTATGATCTATAAGATTTTTTTGTTGATAAGTACTATTATAATTAGATTGTTGTGAATTTTTTTGATCATCTTTAGTACAATATGGCAACTGTTCAGAGTCCATCATTAATTGAAGAGCTGGTAAAGGCAAATAGGGCATTTCTTTTGCCAAAGTAAATTTATTCCAAACAATAAAATTTGGTTTAGCAATTTTCCTATCTTTATTTTTTTGAAACTTTTTTTCAATAAGTTTTCTTTTTATATTTACCAGCACATTATTTGTACGATTATTAGTATACTCAACATTAATCTTTCTTCTAAAGGTATTCAAAGTGGGATTCTTTATAACAACTTCAGGAATTGTTGAAGTTTTTGAAGAATTTGTTTCTATTGAATCTTTTTCTCCTTTATTTTGAAGCAATTTACAAGCATCACGTAAACCTAAATTATAGATAGCTCTAGCTATGTTATCAGTTTGTATCAAATTTCTATCCCATTCTCTTATGTTGTTGATAATACCCCAATGAAATTCTGAATTTAAATTAATAAGTTTTTCAATTTTTGATTCATTTATTCCTATATTGACAACTGGTTCTAAAGTATTATTATCATACATGTAATTAATCTGATTGGAATCTAAAGTAATATCAGCTTTATTTGAATAAATCATATCCGAATCTAATACTGTAGGAGACAACTTGTGACCACAGTAAGAACATGATGTGGCATAAAAACTAAAAACCAAATAAATGATAATCAGTGACATAAAAAAATTTGATTGAAAATTAAACCAATAGAATAGCAGATACTGTGAAATGACACACATAGGGTAATCAATGTAGCATTATAATTCATAATTAAACTATTATATTGAATATACCCAAAAACTTTATATTACTGTAATGATTATTTTTTGAGCACAAAAGGTGAAAAACTAATAGAAATTTGTTCATAATTTTTTTATGGTGTGATGACATTAGTATTTATATTTATTATCAATGTCCACATTTATTTTCTTTATTAAATTACGAGTCCCAATATTACAACACATGTACATTTTTTCACAAGTCAATCAATTTAAAAATAGCATGTCTAAAAGAATTATGATATAAACAAAAAATTAATGGTATTGCTTCTCATAATTATATATGATTGTACATTGTTTTTAAAAAGTCTAATTTTTAATATAACATTATGGTCATTCTCAAAATGAGCAAAAAAGGCAGCTGCCTTCTTGATTTCTTTGTTTAGTCAATTTTCATATTCATTGTATTATAAAATTTCACAAAATTTAATTTAAAAAAAAATATTTTTCTCATAATTATATTATAAATTATAAGATTAAGAGCATTATTTTTAATAGTTAACCAAACCTACATAATTTTAGTCAAAATTGTATTTTTTCATTTAATTTATATTAATTAAGAAATTATTGTATTTATTCTATCGCATTATGTTAAAGGGTTTTTTTTTTTTTACTCGTTTATAATTTAAAAATAAATAAATAAAAAATATCATAAGGTTAGGTTTTTCTTTATTAAAATTATAGAAACAATTTTCCCTAAATTTAAGATAATATTTATATTCTCTTTAATATTTTTAATTGAATAAATCAATCATTGGGCAACTTATTATTGAAAGGTTGATGATTAAAAAAAATTTATTTTAATATTTAAAGAACTTGATAATAATATAATATACCATTGACTAAAATATATGTTCACATTTTTTTTACTTTTTATATTAATTTAAGATATATTTTTTTAAATAATACATACAATCAATCCTTCAATTAAATACTTTTACTGAAGATTATAAATTAACTATAAAAAATTACTGAAATGCATAAGAGGCACAATATGACACTGTCTTTCCTCAAGTAAGCCTATTTTGTGATTAACTAATTATTTAACAAACAATTATTTTTAAATTTTCTGATTGTTTTATATACTTAATTGGAAGATAAACATTTTAAATATCTACAAAGTAGAAAATGTTAATATTATTTTATAAAATCAATGTATTAAACTAAATTAATATTTTACCAAAATTTACATTTTATTTTCTGGAACTGTATTCAAATGATTATTTGAATTGTTTAAATTATAGTTTTTGCTATTTATGGTAATGAAGGGTTCCATTTCATTAATAGTCAGTTCTGAATCCATTTGTTCATCTCTAAAATCAAATTATATTATACATACATACATAAAAAAAATTTAATGGTGCATCTTAAAATAAAATAAGAAAAAATAATAATAATTTCTCTTATTAATTTAAAAATTAATATTTGAAAAACAGTAAACATAAAGGAAAAATGATTTTTGTTCAATATTTTTTAATTTTAAAATTTAACTAAAAATTGTTAATTCTAATTTATATCATTTAAAATATTTAAAAATTAATATAATATTATTTTTAATAAACAATTAAAAAGGATATAAATGGATAATTTTTGTATGATTGTTAAGAAAAAAATTTGTTTTTTCATAAATCAATAAATTTTTTTACGTGGTTGTTAAAAAAATAAATCTAAATATAACTAAAATAATTATGGAAACAACAATTAACTAATAAATTCAGTGAAACAAGTCCAATCCTATTGATGAATATCCTAAAGATGACATAAATTGAGTTAGTTCACAAGAACTATCCAAGTAATATAACTTTGAGAACAATTTTTATAACGTTTATGTAATTTTATAATTTTACCTTTGTTTACTTAATTTATAAAAAAATCATACAGCAATTTAAATAAACTAGAACAGGAAAAATTAAATTTAACTTAATTTTAAAACTGAGGACACATTGGGCGTTGTTTAATTTATTTATTCAATAATAAATAAAAAAATTAATTAAACTTTAATCTCTATAAACACAATATAGCTATATATTTTTTTTATCTATCTGAAAAAAATTAACCTTATCAATAATATTCCTTAAATTTCCACATTAAAATTTTATTGAAAGTAAAATAATTAATAGTGACTCACAAGGTTTAATTAAATATTATTATACATTTTGTAACAAAATATTAAATGAGAAAACTAAGTGTAAATAACGTACTAGGTTTAGATAATAATTTGCATAAGTAAAAAAACAATGGGTTTTAAAATATATAATAACTTCTTCACATAATTTTAACTATGAAAATTAGATTATAGTTTTATAAGAATAACATACTTTAAATCACTTGAAATAAAATCAAACTCAGATTTAACATTTATTACTTCAGGTTCCTTTTTTACTATGGACAAGAACTCATTATTTGTATCCAACATTTTTTGAATAAAAAAAACTAAAACAAAAAATTTATTTGAAAAATAATTTAAATCAATCTTTCAGTATACCTTTAAAAGAAAAATATTAGTCAAAACTTCAGTTTTTTCTTTTTTAACTGAAATTAAATTTTTCAATTAGGGTTTATTTTATTTATTTACCAAAAAATAAAAAAATAAAGAATAAATATGAATAATATGAATGTTATCTAAATAAATACGATAGTCATAATTTACAGAGTGGAAATTATTCAGAAATCGTACAATACTAAACTTAAACATAGAACTATCATTATGTTACATAAATTGCTTGACGGAATTTCCCATAATTTGGGTTTTTTGAGAAAATTTATATCTTATCTGTTTTCTATACATTACTCTGTTCATAATGTTCTTGAGAATTTAAACATGTGTATTCGAACGACGGCAATTTTTTAAAATTATTAATGGTATTAATACTATATGAGAAGATGTTAGAAATGAAAAATATGAAGTAAATAATAGTAATAAAAAAAAATGGATACGTTGCATAGTTAGGTCCAGTATAGATTTAATCTGACAGTGATTAAAATCACTATCATAAGAAACGCTTCGATGCAAAACTGTAGATAATATTTCATTTTAAGTTGGTGGATAGTTACAAAAGCAACATCAACTATTTCCTTAATTATATCCAAATTAGTAATTCTTAAATTCAAAAATATAATATAAAATTATATATTATATAATTGTTTTCAAATTATTATTGATTTTGATTTTTAATATGTTAAAAGTAATCATTTTGAACCTTTTTTTTTTTAAATTTTTTTTTTTTCATTTTATATTACATAAAATAAGCTTTGATTTGATATATGTTTAAAGGACGCAGTATTTCAGGAACATTTTCAAAAATTAAGTTAAAAAAGTTAGTTTTTGTAAAAAAGTTGCTATTTTAAATCCCCCCCAATGATCAGGTTAAGTGTTAGATTTTCAAAAAAATGATATCAAATGAAAGGGAAATGTCTAAGGTTTTAGTATAAAAAAAATTATGTTGATTTGTTTATTTTTGAAAAAGTTATGGAAGTTTTAAGAAAAAAAAGTGAAAAAATGACAAAATTTACCGATTTTTAAATTTGTAATTTTTTTGGATATTTCCCCGATTTGCGAGGAACGAGGGAAAATTTTTCAATTTTTAAGGGTAATGTCTTCAACTAGATACGATTTGTGATCTTTTGACGTATTGTTGAAAGAAATCGGTCCAGTGAGAGCTGAGAAAAAGTGGCAACAGACATAAAAAAAAAAAAACACATCATAGTAAAATTAATACCTTCTCAGCTTCGCATCGAAGCTAATATAGAAGTTTTTTTGAAAATAATTAAGGTGTCGTTTTCTTCTGATATGTTTTATTATTACAAAACTAGTTCCTGTAAAAAAGTTATACACGTAAAAATAATTTGGAAAATATATTGTTTAAAAGAATTGAAATGTTAGATTTTTAAAATTGGAAAATGCTATATAAAGTAATTTAAAAGATTGTTTAATAATACTTTCTTTCATGAGAAATTATTATATTTAATAATAAGTGTAAATTTTCGAATGTTATGTTAACGAAAGAAAGGAAATAAAATGTTTAAAGTTGTGTCCTTAAGTACACCCATAAAAACGGTCTGGATACACTTGGGTATTAAACGAATAAAATCTGCCATAACTTTTTCAAAAATGAACATATCAATATAATTTTTTTTTTGTAGATGCTTGATGTCTTTACCTATCATTTGGTAAATTTTTTTCCTAAATTTAACCCTTTACCTGCCCATAGGGAGGGATTTAAAATGACAACTTTTTCACAAAAAATTAACTTTTTCAACTTAACTTTTAAAAGTGTTCCGGAAGGTCTGACACTTTTATATATATCTTAAATTAAAGCTAATGTAATGTTCTTTATTATGGAAAAAAAAATTTAGGACTATATTTTATCTTCACGGTGAAAATGGCTAACAAATGCTATTTTTGTGTGAAAATTCTCGATATTATATTTTACATTTTTAACTTTATAATGCTATAACTAATTGAAAAGTGTATGGATCAATACAATTTTTTTATGAAAAATAATATTTCTTAATAATCCCTTTTTCATTCAGGATATAAATAAAGAAATAGCAGTTCATGTAGCTTTTGGAATAATCCAGCAATTATTAAAATTGAACACTATCTAAAGATTTGCATTGAAGCGTTTTTTATGATAGTGATTTTAATCACTGCAGATATCATTATACTTGATCCAACTATGTTACGTCACCACTGTGCCGCGACCCCCCTGTGCTGGGTTTTTTAAATACTTTAATATAATCTACAAAATATGAATATGTTAAATTGTCCGATTCGGTTACTTTTAAAATACTAAAAATTTTATTGATTAATAACACAAATTTATTTAATATGTAGTAACTGATAACTCAAATTAACATTTATATACATTTTGATTTAAATTGATAGGGAACGTTTGTAAGTCTCCTAACCCTAGTTAAATTTTTTGTTATACAAACAATTTTTTTGAAGAGTTTTCACAAATCAGTGTCTAACCATTGACTTGCCATATGGAAAATTTTGGGTTTACAGGACTCGAGATTTACATGATACTCGGTTTGTAATGTTCTTCTCTAGAATATTTATAAATAATTAATAATTCTTTTATAACTAAGGCCATCTAAAATTTGATTCAGGAGCATATTTCGTTATTACTTTTATAACATAGCTCTGGACAGAAATTGTATCAGTTGATTAATTCACTAAGAAGAGAAAATCAAACTTGGCAACCAAATGTCCAACAGGTATGACACATTCAAGTTGATAGGTGTCTGACGTCACAAACCCCATTTATACCTTTCTATAACAGGATTGAAGACCTGAGCAAAACTCACTTATTTTTTCACTTTTAATTTTGTTATTTTGGTCTGTATTGGTGTATTTTCTGCATATCTTTTTACTCTTAGCTTAACTTTACTCACTTAGCTTACAACTTACATTTATCAAAATATCACATCATTTGTAATAATCACATTTGATTATATTTAGACATTTTCTTATTTTAATTTAAGACATCTTCATAAAAAATAACATTGAACTTTATCAAGACAATATTTTGATTTAACTTTCATCGAGATCACACAAGGAATTTTCAAATAATAGTTTTATTATACCAACTATAATAATCGAGTGATGACTAAAAGTCTAGGAACTTGTATTTATTAAGTCATTACAAATGACTTTTTATTACAAAGAATTATCATCCTTTATTTTTATTAATACTACCAAAATTAACCTATTTTTAGTTATTATAATTTACTACTAGCCGGAAAATATTTAGTTTAAAACTCCTTTTAGATTTACACTGTTTCCACTACTGATAGTTGTAACCCAACGTACTTTTTAAATATTTTGAAGCCCCACTCACGTAGTATATATATATTTTTTTAATGGAGATATAAATTTTTGGACCCCTGACCTATATACAGGCCCGCATTTAGGGGGGGGCATTGGGGGCATTTGCCCCGGGCGGCAAAAATCTTAATAGGTATACAATTTTTAAAAATTAATTATTTTTATTTAATTTTAAATTTTTTCAAACAGAACAATTTATTTTTATGAAACAAAAATATCTATTTCTAAAAAAAATATTACTTTATTATTTTCTAACTTAAAACGTATACAAAGATATAAATGTAAAAGAAGATATATCAAAGTTGTATAACAACATAGACTACAGATAGTAGTTAGATAATAGTATTGATTATACATAGTAATTTTTATAATCAACAGCACTATAAATAAAGTAGGCGGCAATTTATTTGATTCATGTTTTTATCTAATTTTAACAAAGTATTGATATTTTCTCCCTTAAACTGGTTTTATGGATGTCGTCGGCCGTTGATAGTCGATTATTATTGGAATACTAAGAAAGTTAAAACACAATAATTTGTCTCATTTTTCACAAAATTACTATCTAATAATGTCACACTAATAATGTGTTGTGTACAGACAGCTCATTGTGTTTAGTACTCGACTACAAGTGACCGAGTTAATATGTTGAGGTGTTTTTTTTTATTTGTATATTTTATTATTTATTAACGTATTAAAATGAGAGATGGCAGAAAACGTTTAAGTGGAAGTGCTTATAAAAAAGTTGCTAAATTAAAATTAGAAAAAGAACAAAAAGTCATTTCTCAAACCGCAAAATTAACTTCATTTTTTGGCAATCAATCTCCAATTCGCCAAGTGAAATAGAGACTACAGCTGAACAGATTTTAAATGAGTCTAGTGATAAAAAGTAATTTAAAAATCAAATGTTAACTTTTGTACGTTATTTCAGTTTTATATAAATGAAAAATTTTATAATTTTTTAGTGAACATCCTCTACATAGTACTTTTGAAACCATGGAAAATGAAAATCAATTAATTGAATATTGGGAATTATTAAATACGCCAACTAAAAAACCCAATCCAACACTTTTGGGGGGCGGCAAAATTAAGTGCACCGGGCGACAAAATTCCTAAATGCGACCCTGCCTATATATTATTTATAAGAAATTTTAATTTTTACGAAAGGAAGAACATATCTGCAACGTATTTTGATTATAGAGTTTGTGGAGCTCATCGTTCCATAGGCACAACTATGGGGATAGGGGTGCTTAGTTATAATTTAGCTATAATTTTGAAAATTATGTTTATTATTCTATAAAAGTATTTTTAAGGAGGGAAAAAAATATAGTTAATACCCTCAAAATTGTATTCTAGTTTCACTAATGCATAAATTATTATATTAACATATTTTTCAATTGATAATTTAACTGACATTTAGCTAATCACCAATTGTTTTAATCCGCCAATTAGAACGCCGGTTAAATCAATATAAGGTCAAATAGTACATCAATTTTAACTTATATTCATTATATTCGTCTAATTCACAAAACGTCTAGTTGTTTTTTTGATTATTTACACGTCTTACATAAAAACTATTTACTATTACCCACTACGATGATGACAATATAATCTACTATAAACAGTCGTTGACTACCAAAACACTGAATAGATAAAATCTTATCTATTCTAAAACTAAAATTGTATTATTTTGAAGCACAGTGTTTTGAAGTTACACGATTATAATAAGTACAAAAGTTTCTTTATAAAAAAAAATCTGTATTCATGTTAAATTATTTTCGGTATAGGAAGAGTATAACAAAAATTTTAACAATATAAAAATTTTAATTCAATGAACAGAAATCATTATCACTAAATAGCTTATCATTTATAATATTCATATTTCGTATGTTATCATGACACGTCTAGAAATAGTGTAAATATAATAGTTTTACTGCGGCTCTTATTATATATATATTCTTTTTTGTTGAATTAATTCGGTTAATATTAAACTTGATTGTTATACTCTTTAAAAAGTTTAACAATTTATTTCTTAGTGTTACTTTAATTATTTCAGAAAATGTACTTTTACCTAAATTTGTGTAAATACCAGTACATAAATTACAAATAACATATTTCTTCCGTCATCAATTTGTGCTGTAGATTATTTTTAATCTATTATGGATGTAAGTTACTGTATTCTTCATAACTTAAAATTAATTATAGTCTTTATATGAAGTTTTATTTTTTTGATGTAAAAATGAAAACGTTGTAAGAGACATTATTAAAACAAATTTTGTGTGTGAAATATGCCTAATCTATGATAACTTATAGTTATTTTCGAAAATATGATTATTATTTTAGAACTTTTGCGAATAACATATTTTTTAAATGTTTAAGACATTACAGTGTTTCTATGATATTATCATACAATAACTTTATAATTAGCTTTATTATGCGATTTATCAACAACTCAAGTGCGTGTTAATTTAAGTATAATATACTCACTTAAAATAATGCTAGACTGAATATTTTATTATTTTGAGTCCTTAAATACTTGCTTAAGTTGATAAATTATAAGTATAATGTACACTAGATTATGCTTTAAAAATTTAGGAAGATGTTATCTATTTAATAATTGGTGATTACATTGACTTACATAGAAATGTATTTAGGGAAGACATGGGCTCTGGGCTTTAAAATTTTTAGTGTTTCTGGTGTGTTTTGATATATATGGTATTTCTTATATTGCTAATAAATTGGAAAAGAAATTTTAGGTGAAGTTTTAGAGAATTATTTACATATTTCTATAAAATATGGATTATTTATTAAAATATGTTCTATTTATAAAATTGAAGTATCAAATTAATTCAATTATTTATATTGAAAATACTTCTTTTGTTAATTTTAATTTTAATGATTTTTGAATTAGTATATTTGTATATTAATTCACAAATCATTTTGTGTTTATTTATATTATTAGTATAATTGCATATATTTTATGCATAGTTTATAAATACAAGTAGTGGACCAAATGGATACAACAGTTCAAATACAGGTCATACTACAGTAGTGAGTTAATTTTAAAATGCTTATCGTCAATGTATTATTAACTAATTTTAATGGAATTGGTTTTTTTTTTATAAAAATTTCAGTTTATTAATGATGTTCCTCAAGAGAGTGTTGAAGGTAGAATGACTATGCCAGGTTCACTAATGCAAAACATAGGAGACCCTGGTTTTAATACACTAGATGAACCTATTAAAACAACCATTGTAAGTATATTAGAATTAATATAGTAGTTAAAATCCTGATTTTTTTTTTTCAAAAAATCATAGATGAGGGATTTAAAAGCTGTTGGAATGAAGTTTAAACATGTCTTATATCCCAAAGAAAAAAACTCTCTATTGAAAGATTGTAAGTTAAAAATTTTACATTTAATTATGTTGCTTTCTAAATAATTATAATATTTTTAGGGGATTTGTGGGGACCTTTGTTACTATGCACTTTTATGGCAATGTAAGTAACAAATTTAAACATAATATATTATTTATTTAGATTATCTTTATATATTGCTTAGGGTTTTACAAGGAACGCCTGATGAAATGGAAATAGGAGATGGAGGTCCTGAATTTGCCGAAGTATTTGTTATTATATGGATTGGTTCTGTGATTATTACATTAAATTCAAAATTGCTTGGTGGCACCATGTAAGAAATAATTTTTTTTAATGCATTAAAAATGTTTTTATTGTTATACATATTAAGATAAATGCTATATTAGTTAATTTTCAAAATATTAACTTTGTTTGATTCCTATTAATCGTTATTATCCAAAAATTTTAGATAAAAAATACATTTTTTAGTCACTTAATGTGTTTCAAATTAATTGATCAAAATTACCTAAAATAAAAATAGATTTTGAACTATAATTTGTATGCTTAAAGTATATAGTTTATAAGGTACAATTTTGTGAGTAAACATTTATAACTATACCAACTAGCAAAACAGAAAGTATATTTTTCAATAGTCATAATTGATAATAAACTGTATATCTGTTAGCAATGTCGTAAAAAGAAAATTAACTGTTTGTACTTTTAATCCGTTTTATATCATACAAGCATATTAACTCAAAAAATTTGAATCATTAAAGTGTTGTATTTAATAAATGGATGAAGTTATATTAAAAATTTAAACACCATTCACTATTAAAAAAAAAAGTTGTTAATGGTTTCAAATAAGTTGTGTTGGAATCATTTGATTTTCAGGCAACAATATGTTGTATATGATATTTGACCAAAAATTTAATGGTTTAAGTCATTTTTCTTTTTTCAGTCAATTTTCTTAAAACACATTGAGTAAATAGTAAACATTTTTTTTTTACCTTAAGTTTTCACTGTGTATTCCTTTAATATTGCGAAGATCAATTATTTTTGTGATATCCTAGTACATATAATGCTTATTAATAAAGTATAGGTCAAGCTTAAAAACTATATTATTAATTAAAAGAAACAATTTATCAAGTAAAAAATGTTATTTTTCAGATCATTTTTTCAGAGTGTCTGTGTTCTTGGTTATTGTTTGTTACCAATAGTTTTAGCATTAATTGTATGCAGATTTATTTTAATGTTTCATCAATCAAACTTTATGTTCTTTTTGAGATTTTCAATATCAATTGGATCATTTCTTTGGTCAACATATGGTAAATATATATTGCTAACAATTATTTACATTATACGTTGCATTGATCATGTAATTATTTATTTTATAATAGCATCAATTGTTTTCCTTGGAGACAGCCAACCACAAGGAAAAAAAGCGTTAGCCGTATATCCAATATTTCTATTTTATTTCATTATGTCATGGCTTGTACTCTCACACACAGTGTAGTATCTTAATTATTTCTCGATAATAAATGTATGTATAATAATACCAATAAGAATATTATCCTTATTAATATTAATACTTAAATTATTTTAAGCATCTAATTCTAAATAATCAAAAAGTATATTGATACAATACATTATTATTTTTAAAAAGTGGATTTATATGCATTTATACGTTTTGTTAAGTATTTTCAAACACATCTTCAGTCTTTACAAATTTTTATTAATACTTTAATACACAATAATGTGATCTAATTTGTGATATAATGTTAAGGGAGAATAAGGTGTTTATTTTTCCCAAAACAAAAATTATTTTTATGCTACTGTATATTTCATCAACAAATTTGTACAACCTTGGGTCCTTTTAAAATGGCTAAACAAAATTGATAAATGTTTATAAATATGCTCTCTATTTATTTTTAAATTCCCTTGATTTTGGTTAATGATTGGGTTAAAAAAAAAGTATATAGAGAGAGAAGAAAATATTTAAAGTATTATCATTAAAAAAAATTTGTTATGATCAGTTTTCAATAAGATTTTTCAATTTATAGAGAAAAACGAAAATATATAAATGATCGTTTTTAACAATAATTTTAAATACAAATTATTGTAATTTTTATGACATTTCCTTTTACTGCAGCAGAATATTTTAAAAATATTATGTTGATTTGATCAACTAAATACAATTTATGATTTATCATCAAACAACAATGGTCCAGTAAGAATAGAATATTCATGTTGACAAACTCAAAAATAATAATAATAATCAACTAAATTAAATCGATAGCTTTTTAGCAATACAAATAGAAAATTATTCCATAATATCAATATAAATAATAACTGTTTAATATTTTATTCTAGAATTAACATATTTAATAAGTTGTGAAGAGGTTTCATAATGTTCTCTAATAGGAGTGTAACTTAAAGTTGTTTCAGTAATTTTTTATATTTATAATTATATAAAAATCATAAATTTGACCAATTTTTTGGAAAATGAATGTCTTTATCTAATATGAAAATCATTAAATTACAATGATTAAAAAACTTAGGTTTAAAAATTTAAATGTGTTTTCGAGACATTAATGTACTTCTTAGGAAAAACATTTTAAACTGCAAAATTTCCCTGAGAATCACATTTATTATTTAATTTTATGATATCGCAAAACTATTTTCAACTATCTAGAGTCCTCAAATATTTAGTTATATTTTGTTTATAGTACCAAACTTGTATTAAATTAAAATAATGTTGTTGTTTTATTTATTTTAAATTGAATTTAATTATAATTATTTTTTCCTTATAGACATTTGTTGATATAATAATTGTTAATGATACACCAACTCATTTGCAATGAATCAATCACCTGTGCGTTAAGAGTATTATTTATCATGCTGAAATAGTGCTATTTACTGTTTACATATTTTGTATATATATATATATATATTTCTATAAATCTAAACTTCTTTTTATCAATATTGATTTTTTTTTGTCAAACTTATTTAAAAACAACTGGTTGTTTATTTGTTTTATTAAACTGAAAAAGTTATAGAAATAAATTTTGACTTAAGTAATGGTCTTAAATTGCAAGTGCAATATTGTAGATTAAAAAATATTTTTAAAAAATAATGAAATGATTTAATACTTTCATTTTATTTTATCTTTTCCCATTTAATCTATGAATTATTTCATTGTGATTTTCAAAATAAAATATAACCTAAATGTTAAAAAAAATGTTATGGAATCTTATATTTTGCCTTTTTATGCACATTGTTACAGGTTATTACTCTTTTAACAAAATAAGAAATGCTCGCTTGGTTGATTACTTGATATTGAACAATACAATTTGTATTGTTATAACGGGAATTTTAAATAAAATGTTTCTTTTAGGAATAGGAAAAAGAAATGTGTTGTACCTAAATATACTAGAATTTTTTTTATAAATTTAAACATACAAGAAGGAATACTAATAAAGATATAGTACAAATTATTTTACTATTTCTAGAGATTATAGGTGATGAGTTGCTTCATTTGCATCATCCCCAAAAGTTATACTAGAATTTAATATAAGTAGAGTGCACAGTACCTGTAAATACTTAAATGAACAGATTTTTTTATATCAGATAGTGGCAAAATGACTCTTTCTTTACAACAAAATATGTACTGAAGAATTTCGTAGAACTGAAGCAATTGAACATTTATCATGTTTACCAAGTTCACTCTAATTCTATGTTTTCATAAAAAATATGACTTTTTTTTCATAAAAACAAATAGAGTAAGGTGGGGTATGTTGACAAATGGAGAAAGAGATTCAATATTTATCAAAAATAATTAAATGTAGAAACATATTCTTGCTATCATAGAAGCTTCTTGTGGTACATATTGATACTCATTAGTACTACTTAATCTCTAATTTATAAGAGACCCATTTTTTTACAATAGTTTTGGTTATAATGTTTTAGAATAGTTTTCGTCATTCCTATTGGGGAGAAATGAGAAAATTATAATTTTTAGGATAATCTATATTTATTCCATAGAAAGTGAAAAAGACCATTCATGGTCGGAGGCAAGATTAGTAGCATTTCTTAATTGTGATCTCTTATTTTAAAAAACTTCTTGTATTAGAGATAATCAGAAAATTATTAAGCATAAGTTATACTTTAGCGTGTATGTCAATATATTACAGTATCTACACAATGAAGGGTAATATTTTACATAACAAGCACTCTAGGTTAAACAAGTTGGTATTTATTTTATTAAATTTATAGGTCAAATAGGATTTTTATGGAATTTATATTAGTCTTTAAGTTTTAAGAAATATAAAATAAAAATAATTATTGAAAATTAGGTTCTTAAATAATAAAAACAAAAGTATACAAATATTTTTCGTTTATTTAAAGTATCTCATTTTTTCCTTATTATTTAGTTTATATTCATATTTTATACAGATTCTATAAATTCTAAAAATATTTAGTTTACTTAACTTATGTTACCTGACTTTAGACGTATACAAGACCAACTTTATAAGTAATTAATTAATATTACACAATTTAAAAAAAAAACACAAATGCACTTAATTTCTATATTACAATTAATGTAAGTATAATATTTATATATATTTATGTTACATGAATGTATAAGTTATTATATGTTAACACACCTCTCTATCCTAATGATATGAACAATGGATCGGTATACATTAATTTATCCTCATGAAAATTTAAAAGTAGAAGTAAAATAAAAGTTGTTTTACTCAAAAATAAAATATTTTGTTCTAATCTTAAAATGTTTGTTTTTTCACTGTAACAAAACAGTTGAAATTAAACGACTTATCAAGTGTCTTTGATACAATGTCAGTTGATAAGTATTTGAGTTCAACTAAAATTAACTATTTAATTAAGTCTTTAGAAAAATTTTTAACACAAATGTTAAAATAAAAGGTTAATATGAACACATTAGTTTTAGGAACAATTACATATTTTAATAGCATAATGTTTATGTTGTTATGATTGTTATATTATTAAAAACATATGGATACGAAAACAAAATGGTTTTAAGAATTAACTTAGAGAGGATGAATAACATCTAAGATGATTAAATAATACTACTATTCCATTAATTTAATGAACTTTAGCATTGCATTACTGTTGTGAAACCCTGGTAGGATTTTTAAAACAAATAAAAAAAAAACAACAATTGACAATTATTTCTAAGACTTAATTAATGATAAGAAATTATTTAATGACTATATGATTGCCCTTGAGGCAAGATTTTAGGAACTTTTGTAAAACTAACAAACAAATGGGATAATATTAATTGATATGCTGGAAAATTAACATGTCAATGGACCCATCAACCAACAAGTTTTTTTACATAATATGGTGGGAAAACAAAAGGAAAACATATTATACCTAATGTTATTATATTTTACTATAACATATATTTGTTATACTAAAACATTGAAGTTATTAAATCACACTTATAAAAGTCCACACGTCAAATGATTAATTTTTGAAAAAAATTATTGTCTTTTTATTCATTTTATTACAAAATACTAATTAAAAGAAGAAAAATAAAATAATATACTTGTTAATGAATTAATATGAAATTGTAAATAAATGGCAAATTAAATTTCAGAAAACAGTAATAAACGTATTGTGTGGAAAACGGCTAACATTTTGAGTCACATTGTTATAGTATTATGTCAAATATTACACCCATAAATGGCAGTTTTATCAGATTAAAAGTTTTCTATAATGAAATTAATTAAATTAAGGATATATATATATAGATTATTTCAATAATTATAAAACATAATATGCTAGATAAAAGAAAACAGTAATAATATAAATTAATTAACGAACGAAAAACTGTCTTTTATAACGTAAACAAAACTAATAAAAGGTTTGATTTTATACTGATAGTGATATTTTGATTATTCCCAAAATATTAAAAACATGATTATTTACAAACACTGTTTGAACATTTTACTAACATTTTTAACATACATTAAACAAAAATACTACTTATACAAATTCCATAGTAATATATAGAAAACATCAACCGAAGGTTTATTTTTTTACAAAATAATTAAATTATTTGTACAATGTTTACATGAATATTATCATGTAACAATATTTAAGAATATAATATATCAATACAAACGTTATACTGAAATAAAATAAGTCATAATATATAGATAAATATTGCGAGGATTGTTTTTCTTCTATTATATTAAGTATTTATAAATAAAATTCTTATGAAGTAATAAAACTATGCATAGTACATAAATTTTGATACAAAATCATGCACGTGCCTTGCCTAACATAGAGACAATTTTCCATCAATAGGAGCCCTGAAATATGTGTTCTGGCCGAGCTCATCATATCCATTTTTTAAGGACGATGAGACTGACCAGTGTCACTCACTGTTGCTTTGATGATGATGATGATGATGACTGCCAACAGATGGAGACGATACTAGAGCTAATGGATGGCCAGGAGATGTTAACATAGGAAACATATCACTTTGGTTCTGTACTGACATAGATGCCGTGAACATATCAGTGTTGGTAGATGTTGTCTGTCCAGCCATAGTTGTTGTTGGCGGGTTAATACGTTTTTCCTTCTGTCTACGATTGCAAAACCACACGCGAACTACTTCTTTTTCCATAGATAAATTGTCTGCTAGTAGTGATATTTCTTCAGATGTAGGTTTGGGATTTGCTCTAAATGCTTTTTCTAAAGAGTACCGTATTGATGTTTCAATAGAAGTGCGCTTTTTCCGACGTCTACCTATGGCTTCTGGTGTTGTCAAAGGATTGCACAAAGCACTTGGGTTAGTCATAGTACTGTCAGCATCTACTAACCATTTTTGCAAAAGTGGCTTCAACTTGCACATATTCTTGAATGACAAATTTAATGCCTCAAACCTTGATATAGTTGTTTGAGAAAAATCATTTCCATAAAGCTTGCCCATTGCTAATCCAACATCACCTTGAGTAAATCCTTAAAAAAGAAACATAACAAATTAAAAATTTTCAACAAAACTTTATCAAAAAAACATAAAAGTCAACTCACCTAATTTTATACGCCTTTGTTTAAACAATTTTGCAAATTGTTCAAGTTCTTCAAGATCTGTAGTGTCATCAGCACTTGTTTTAGTTTCTGCTAACCTACTGAGAGCTGCTGCTGCTGAAGAATCTAGATCACTGTTAGTAGACGATTGATTTTGATTAGAGTGTTTTGAATGGTGAGATGGTGTTGAAGATCCAACTGGTCGAGACTGACCATTACTACCGGGAGATTGATGATTGTTGATTATGTTTATTATATTTGTTTTATTATTAATGTTCTGAGCTTGTTGAATCTGTTGAAGCTGAAGTGACGCTTGAGTTAATGCTTGGTGCACCTAAAGAAAATAATTTTCACACGATTAGTTTAAACAATAGAAATTTTTTTTTAATTTTATTTTATTTCATACTTATAAAATACTTTTCGTAACATATTTACCTGGTTTTGGAAAAAAAACGGCGTTTGACTCCCATGACTTGCAGTGGACTGTCTCATCAATAAGTATTGGATTTGTTGTTGAAAAAGTGCTTGTAATTCTTGTGGTGTAAGTGAAGACTGACCACCAGGTGGACTACCCATTAGTGGATTACTTTGAGGTGATAAAACTCCTAACCCTGGGATCTATAATATAAACAATAAAATATTACTATTCATTCAATTAGAATAATTATATAAAATAATAATAAATACTTGTGCAAATTGTTGATTTTGTAACGCAGCCAATGGATCACTTCCAGATGTCATATTGGCTGAGTTATTACCAGATGGTCCAGTACTGCTAACGCCTGAACTAGATGAGCTACCAGAATGTCTATGTGAAACCTAATAAACAAAAAAGTTGAATTAAGAATTCGCATTGCAAAATTATTTATTAATGTTGAATGATTTTTATTTTATTTTTGTGAATATTAATTTATAATACTAGTAATAATTAAAAATAAGTTCTTAAACATTTAAGTAACTACTGATGAAATAGAGCAATAGATACAAGTCATGATTTACAAGAAAATAAAACTCTAGGGAAAGCTGAGCGTATTTCTCTTAACTAGAAAAATCCATTAAATACTACAATTTGCCCAATGACACAAAGATGATAGAAATAAGAACACGTTCACGCTTTTAATCAATTCTCATCAAAAAATACTATTGTCATTGTTCCTCATTTTTTCCCCTTAGCTCTCGGGTTCTCCATCAAAAATGGCTTTTATTCAATTATAACTCATACGAGTATCGCCTTCTAAGAACCATTAAGAATTTGCCAATTATTAATGTACACGATTTTCCCGTCATATATTAATAATAAATTATTTTTATAAATGTTGGCAAAAACTTTTGTGTAGGTAGTTGCTAATGAAAAGAATTCGACAACCACACATTGATGTATCATACAAACATTTCTTGTTCTCAATATTTTTTCATTTCAATCTATGATTGATGATTATTCAACTATAGTTATCAATTTAGAGGTAATGTATTAATTGAAAATATTTTTATATCATTGATTAGAAAAATTAAAGAAATTAACTGTATGCTATACTTAAGAATGACTTGGCAACTTTTCGAGTTTTTCTTTAACTTGAAAATATATGTTCGATAAGCTTATAAGGTAAACTATTCTTTTGTACCTACTATTATTCAAAGGATACCACTTCTCTTTATATGAATATTTTTTTGTACGCCACACGAGTTTTTATTTATTTAAATGCCATACGCCTGACCCTTTTTTTTACCACAACCCGCACCTACTTTTTCCATCTATATAAACTGGACTATATTAAAGTAGGGTCGAATATATTGGATAGCCCGAAGGCTAAAGGAACCGTTTTCGATACGTTTAATCTCTGAAAAGCTGTAGGTAAATAATTAAATATTCAACGGAAAGTAAAACGTTTCAAAGGCATGTGAACCGGAATTCGTTTTTTGTATAACGTAATACGTCCACTACAAAGAGTATGCTCTTTGTGACTATAGAAACAATAGACAATTGAATACGAAACAAGCTCAGCAGTAACATTTGACTTTCGTAATATCAATGTAGAAAAACGATTGATTTATTTTGCTAGTAATAGGAATTTTAAGATGGCGATAAACTTCTCGTAAGTAATTCTTCTAAGATAATGTTAGTAGTCTTACGTATGATTTGAAAAATAACTAAAATACTGAAACGTCCTGCGGCGCATGATAATGACATTAGACATGTGAAAAAAAAAACAAATGTTTTAAACACGTACATTTATGCCACGGAGAAATTGAACAACAAAAAGAATACGATAATTAGTATAAACCTGCAAGAGTTAGCTCGTCTTCCCTTCTTTAATTACGTTCCCTGAGGTTATTGTGAACACCTCATAATGAAAGGCGTAAAAAAATAAAAACCGTCAAGCCAAAATGATTAAAAAGGTAATTCGGTTCGCAAATAGATCATATTGTTATTATAAACACCATTGATAGGCGTTTTAACGGCAATAGGTTACATTTTCTAAACTTGTTATTACATTTGCATAAATATTTACCAAATTTAATGCTCCAGTTCTGTCTGGCGATCCGCCATCCGAATTGAGCAACAAATCGCTTCCGGTACTGTCCTCACTATGATTGACCATGTCGTCTCCCACCCTATCATCTCGGTCATCGTCGTCGTCGTCGCCATTGTAGTCTGCAAAAAAATTGTTAAAAATAAAACGCATTAATCACTCATTTTCAAATTGACTAGAAAAAAATAGTCGAGATCCATAACCGATTTGGGGTGGATAAAAAATTCATAATAAAACAAGTACTAACACCGGTAGTAACACATTAGTACACGATTAAGTTCAATAAGCTGGTCTCGCACATAAAACAGTATTATAATACAAGTAATCTGCGCATAAATCATTAACTTTTGTTGTCCGACTCGTGCGCCACACAAATGCGTATATTATTGTACGGGAAGGGGTTGAAAAGGCAGCACGAGTCGCTATTGTGTCGGCAGAGGGTTTCGAAAAAATATGATTATAATGAAATAATTTACGCTCGTACCTAATTTAGCCGTGATTGGATGGATGATGAATCGTTCGGCAAGGGACGCGCACACAAAAAACTCAACCCCCGTGTACATTTGCGCAATTGGTTAGTTATGCAAACTAGGGTAGAAGCGACGTTACCCCTTTTTTTTTTTTAAACCCGCACACGCCCAATTTATGTATCCGGATGTTTTAATTCAACCCTCTCCATGACAGTTTGTAATATTTCCGAGCGAAAAATAATTATTATTTTATTTTAAAGCTGGCCAACCGTCGTTCTGTCTGAGCGCAATCACAGTGCTCTAGTCTGATTTTATCCGGACGGAGGTGGAGAGGAGAGACGTTTCACAAATTTTTCGAGTTTTGGGAATAATTGAAAAACTTCAAAAACCATATCATGCTGGTGCCCGTATGTCTAGCCGACCATTCTATGTGCGCGTTTAATTACGTTAAAATTAGAACAACTTTTGTACGCGCATTATCGTTGTAAATTAGAGGAAAATCTTGCTGAATCACCACAACCCCTATATGCGGGTTAAACGGTAAATATTCAGTTTTTTACCACCCCCGACAAAATACATTTTCCTGATCTCTTGCGTGTCAATCGGGGCCGGGAGCTAAAGAAAATATTGTATTATTTTACCATACGGTATTGGATGATCGCAGGTCATAGGGCGAACAGATACACATCGGCGGGGTTGGCCAGCCGACGAGAAAAAACGGTCCGGCTCGCGAGCAAATTGAACGTGTTTGCGCTTTTGCATGCACGGTGAACGTTTCTTACCCCATTTTCACCCTCTTACATGTATATATTATTATGTTTTATATTACGCTTGAATGTTGACCCTAAACCTGCACGTTATAACGTCGAATACGATCTGCCGCGTATGTTTATAGTGATCAAATCGACTTTGTTTAAAGTAGTTTTACATTTAGAAACCGCAGCTTACCTCCTTCTGGCATTGGAGACGGAGACTTGGCACTTTTGATACTTTCGGCGTCAGTACCTACAAAAAAAAAAAAACAACGATCCGTTATTTTCGTGTGTTATACGAGACAAAAATAATACTAGTAATAAGTGAAAGGATAAAGGGTTGAATGTTAGCGCGCCCGTGCTGCCCCCGTTTTTATTGTCCGGGCGCGCGTCGCTGTGGCGCATACTAACCGGAGGGAGTACCACCGCAGGGTTTTCACGAGAATAAACAACGGGCACGAGATATACCTGATTATTACACGTTGGTATTATATATCGTCAACACACACACACACACGTCGGGTGTCTATTGTAAATGTACTGCACGAGGGGTACGTGACCATTGGCGGTGGAGACGACCCATGCCCGGGGGGGGAGGGAGGGGTGAAGTGGTATCGATGACATTTGGGAGTATTTGTCGGGTTTGTAATTTTCGACACTACAGAGTGCGGTCGAACGCACTTAGCAAACTCTTCCAATCCTTTCTTTGACTTTGTATTGAAATCGTTTAACTTTTTCAGTCTTTTAATTTCCCAATGGGCTATCACGTGGCCTGCGGCACGAGCTAGTTTTTCGTGCGATTATTATTACTTATTGGTGCGCTAGCCGATGAAAACTTTTATTGTTACGGTCTTGGTTATTATTTGGACGGTTCGAAGAAATAATAACAATAATAAACTCTTAACGAAAACGGAATGCTTCTAGATCAGCGAATGCGTGGCAGAGTGGAGGGAAAAAGCTCGTAGGAATAACACCGAAAACTGATGGGTGGCACTACTACGACGGGGAAGGAGAAATAAAGACCGTAAGTATCGGTGTATCCCCACGGGTGACATTTGGCGGCTGAAGAGCGCGATTTGGTCAAAAGTGATGTGTCTTATTTATGTAACACCACTAAAGGAACGTTGGAAAAAAAAAAAGAAAAAACTAGACGGTCCGAACACCCTACCGGCCATTTATTACGTTTAACCTCGTCGGTGGACTTTGGGTGTCTTGAATGTGTTGCGCGAGGGGTATACGACAAGGCAAATTTAAATTTATGCGTTTCGAAAACATACGATATATAACACCGTGTAACAAGTTCGTGTCGGTCATTGAATGTCGATTTTGAATTATCTGCGAACGTCTGGTGTACTTACGCTTATAATAAATAATAATGGACAGTTGAAAATCATAATAATAATAACGATAATTATCTGTCATGATAATGATTTGTTTGGATTTGACGAGTTGGCGGCAAGGCTGGCGGAAAATGTAAGGCCGCCCAAAACGATTATATTGACACGAAAAACACGCATCGTAGACACTCGTCTATCAAAAACGAAAATCGCACTAAGACTCGCAGCTAACCAAACGCTTAATTATTTACATGGGAAACCTCGTGCTGGTGAAGGGTCTCGGTTTTTAATGATACGACCGAAATGGCATTACTGTTCCCAGAAGCAATAGTAATTTTTATTTCTGAATGACATTAATAATTTGGATAATATGAAAATAATAACCGCCATATTCGGTAGGCAATTGTCATTGCAATCAATGTTGTACCGCGCGCGCGTTATTGAGGTCTTCGCAGAAACGGTCTAAAGTTACGGCATTTGCCGAAAACTAATTAACATTAGTACATAAAAGCTGAACGGCCGCTGCGCTAAAAGGTTTTTATAGCCGTTGTACTCTTGTGATTTGCTCAATTATACACATAAAACGCCTATGACTCATTTAGATATCGATCGGTTCGCAGCAGTGTGTGGTGTGACATATACATTTTAATACCCTTGCAAACAACAAGAGCACCGTTGACGACCAATGCGTAATCCATACGAATAATATCGACGAAAATCCCCAAAAACTAGGGTAGGTTTTGTCTCTACGCGCAGCAGCACGCACCACGACGGGCATACATTATAGAATGCTCGGCAGACACACGCGTATATTATCATCATTATTATTATTATTATATTCCCCAAAATAATATCCATACATGTGTATGTGTTTCGCAGATGTTGGCTCGGGGGCGGACAACTGCTGCAGTGCGCGTATAGGGGTCATCGGCAAATCTTGCATATTATATTATGGCCGCGGTCCGTGTGAATCATTGGAAGGGCGGCGGTGGCGAACAATCGGAATCGCAATTTATTTTTCCCTCGAAATAACAGAAAAGATGAATAAATAAATAGCCGGAGAGATGCTAAAATTTAAAACCCAAATGAAACGACGACGTGAATGTGGTAACCAAATTTCGGAGCGAATACCATTTAAATAATTTAAGCGCAAAAGGTCACAGCAACGCGCAGTTTTTTGGGTCGTGTAAACGGAATATAAAAAAGAGGGATGAAAATAAAGGGCTACAAAAAAAACTCCATGGGCAAAAAAATGTTCCATGGGTTATATCGGGAATCCGACCGCCGCCACTTTTGTTTGCTCTGCGCACTCTTTTCTCGTGAAAAATCATATTCGGCGCGATACACAAATAACAATAATAATATATGCAAATTCTGTGGAATAGCCGACGCATAGATTACAGTCATGACACGTGCGTCCCTTTCCTAGTGATTTTTATTATTTATTAGGGTATTAAAATTATAAGGCCATAATGTGGGTCTTTTTTTTTTTTATTTCGCATTCGTATATTTTCAATAACACACACCAGCAGTCCGGCACGTAAAATTCTTCATTGTGCCAGTGTATACGCGCACATACATAGAAATAATGATAATAATAATGATAATACCACCAGCAGTTTTAGGGAAAACGCACAGATTCGACGGGGTCGATACGGACAACTAAAATTGTACACGGTGTGCATTTTATATTCCATGGCCATTATGATGCACATGTGCGCGCTGTATATGCTAATCCCAAGTGTTGACCACCGCCACAGGTAGTGCGTGTACAACGTGTCCTGATGGGTAGTTTTCTTTGGAAATAAATTTGAATAGACCCTTCGTGCGCTGTTATATCTCACAAAAGAACACCGTTGACGCCAACGCTGCAGCAGTGACCAATGCGCATAATAATGTTTCCACACTAATCCAGTCGAATGAAACGATATCATTTCCAGGAAAAGTGCACGTGCACCGTAGAAAATAAAAACGCGTTTAGAGTCTCGATTTTGAAATATTACCGAGACACGCTCGTCAAGGTTCTCCGAATAACTCTCCTACGCTTAAGGGAAACTTTGCTGTCGACTGCAAATGCACACCCCTCCGATTATTTCCCATTAACTATTTCATTAGCGTTCGCCAGCTCTTGTTGGACGACGTGCGTGGTGGTGGTGGTGGTCGTGCGCTTTTGACCGCTCCACACCCACCTCCTCCACGCCGACCCCGACGCGTTAATAATAAATATCGACGGCCGTCGCTCGTTTCCCCCTTAGAGAGAAACGACATGTGCGCCATAAACTGCACACAAGCCGGTGCTACACACTTTTGTCATCTCGGACAACGTCCATAACTACAAACGATCACGCCATCGAACGTACGCCGCCGTGTAAAACAAAATTATTTTGACAGCAGCAGCAGCAGCACAGGTACGCTGTGTGACAAGACTACTACTACCTACTAGAGTGCATTGCCTCCGCCGATTGCTAATCGAAATCAAAAGCCTCCGGGGTCACGACATCTCCGGCCGACGAGAGCGTTCGAACTATGGACACCAACAATAATCATAGTACACAATAATATTAATATAAAGAGAGGCGCACAGACAATACGCTGCCATCATAATCGTATAGTTTAATGTGGAATTGTGTAGACAGACTCGACTTGTCACGTAACACACGATGGAAACGACAAAAGCCATGTATATTGAAACGACGTAAAACACTGACGAGTGCGGCGTAATCTAAAAATGGTAAAAAAATACTGGAGACTTTCTCCGCGTTTATACGAAATGTGTAATCCGACGACCAGCGCGCGATATGTGCAACAACAATCGCTTTTCGCAATCCAACGGCGGCGTCCACTACTCTGAACACACTGTGTAATTGGACCTATAATCCAGTGCAACGCACACTGATTGACAACCCAAACAAATGTTAACCGGCGACACCGATTTGCGTATCGTGTACTAATTAAATTCAATACTATTATTAGAACGGCCCAACTTACTTCTGTACGATGAACATTCGATGATCTCAACGACCGGCTCTATAGACAGGACCATTTCCACGTACACAGTATTTATTATCACCAGATGTATTGCGACGTTTTCGGATTGACCGATTCGCGGGCAACTAACCGCTGCGAACAGCTACTATTCAAATGAAACAACACCACACTGAAACTCCTATTTTACACGTATCATCCCCTACCTCATCATTACCTGTTTGTCTACGGCCGCGCCCTCGCACAGATCTCATTAATAGTCCACTGGATGATCGAGTAGGTCACACCACGTTGTGCCTTATGTATAACGACGCCGTTTCGACTATTTCAATATGCGAAAAAAAGCAAACGATTTCGTGTATAATAGTATAAGTAGTGTGCACGTTTATTTTAGAGTAGGAAAACTGAAGAAAAAAAAAATAATAATAATAATAAATTAACGCCAAACGTACAAACTATTTGGTATCACGTACACGATGAATCATATTTCAATAACATGAATGATGTTTTACTCAAGGAGAAACAAGACGAGTGTAACGACACCGAATTCGATTGTTGTGATTACTTGTGTTGTTTTTGAAGTATTTTTTTTTTTTTGACGACGTTTTTCGCTGTAATACGATACAAATGATATAACGACAATCGTCACGTGTCGTCTAAAAATGTACATTTGCTAAATTCGATTGAAAAACACACATAATTTTGAGTAGCCCTGAATAATCTGCATGGCCGGTGGCGTCGGTGTCCCTCTGCCAAAACGGACCGTAGCACGTCCGTCCCTGGCATTCTTGGCACCCCGCAGATCTCTTTTGAATAAACATCATAAATACATTTTCTTTCCGGCACAACGTTTCTAGTGCCTTTGATCGTTTGTCCATTTGGGGCACATCTATTGGCGCGCGTTATTACGTCGTGTCATAAACTCTCAGCT